TCAACACTAAACTAAAAATCTGAGTTATACTTTGTGGCAGTTCGTTAGCAGAAAAAAAATGTTAATCTCTGAACACCAAATCTATAACAAGTAATATTATTGTAAATAACACATAAGCTCTTTTGAAACACTACTTGTCTTATACTATTTAACAAGGACAAGGAATTTTGCAGAAAAGTGAAAGTTAGTTGTTTTTTTTTTTTCATTGGTGATAAATTACAAATGAAACTCATAAAAACTTGATGCTCCTAAACTGACAATAACTTTGGACTGTCAAAATAAGAGCATCACACCCTACAAAATAAAAGTTTTCATATTTTTTCACATCAGGTAATTCCTGTTTTGCGCATTATATGACTGGTTTAAAGAAACAGACTGTGTACGCATTTAGCAGGCATTGTAAGCAGGACAGAAGTGCTGTTGTACTGTGCATCACTGTGTGATAGGTATTTTTCGACAACCTATGTAAAATGAACCACAGACAACTTATGTGAGTTTTTACCAAGCTTTCATGAAAGGAGAAGACGCAGCGGACCGCTCCAGCGAGCTGCCCACCGCGTTCTGAATACCTCCAGTTTGAGCTCGTCTTTTATTATGAAGGAAAAGAGGGAGGTTAGGAGGGAGGATAGGGAAGCAAGACGGGAGAAACAAACTCCTTCTGCACACAGGCAGTTTCTAAGGTAGGGAGTATTCCGATTGATAAGAAGGCACCTGTGGAAACATAATTTAAAGTCTGGGAAACAAACAGTTAACCGTTTCACATGAAGACGAACAGGCAGATGGAGCCTCCTGTTTAGCTTATACACACAGAAGGAAGTTAGAACACTTTACATTAAGAATCACAATAATCTATAACAATATAATGTTGGGTTAATGATCTAAAGTAATAATAAATGTTTGATGTTATAAATGTAAGAATGATAACATAAAAAATTCTAACACTGTGAGTTTGCTTTGGAACAGCTCAGGATGGCATCACCTTCTTTTATACTTAAGGTCAACAATTTTATTACCACCACTTAAATGAAATAATTAGCCATAAAAGTCCACAAATATATTATTTATTTACTTACTTGCAATTAGGTCCTCCTCTTTTTGCCCCACAACAATCAGGCTCTGTCTCCTAGCACTGCCTACATTTCACCATATGATAACTGTTTAAAATATATTCTTGAAATTATGTCATGACTTTTGGTTTAAGAGTGTCACCACAAGATTATCATTTGCCCCCACCAACACATCCTCTGGACACCTTCTGGAGGACAGCCTTTGTTAAGTGTGATGCAGTGTGTGTGTCCTGCCTTGTCTACTCAGTGGGTTGAGTGGGTTGGGTTGCCATGCAGTGTCAGTGACAGATTTGCTCTACAAACATATCTGGCTGTGTTATTTTCTATAAGATCTACACCAAACACAAATCAGCACTAACTGTTAAGAAAATAACAGGATAATTTGGTAATTTCCTACATGAAGTTGGATAAAAATGAATCCTAACTGGTTTCATGATCTGTGTAATTTTGTTTGTGAAAGGCATACAAGTTCCCGTCTCACTGCTGCCCCTCCCTTTTCCTTCAGGTAATGCAGCTTCAGTATGAGAACCGTGTGCTCCTCTCCAACATGCAACGCTACGACCTGGCTTCCCATCTCTCCCTGCGGCCCAGCCCACGAGACAGCGACGCAGAAAGCGACGCGGGCGGGGCGACGAGCGGCCGCCGCGAGAGCGACGAGGACTCCACCTCGTCCCGCTTGCTCCCTCCTCATCGCAAACGGGAGGGCCCCGTGGGCGGGGAAAGCGACTCGGACGAGGTGAGAAACAACAACGGCAGCAGCCGATGCATGACGCCCACGAGGGGCCTCCACACCCCACCGGGTCCCGAGGGCTCCGCCTCCTCTGCCTTGGCTCGCTTCCTCCCTGGCGGTCGCTGTAACCTCCGCGACAGGCAACAGCTGATTGACATTCGCGTGGAAGCGGAGAGGCTGGTGCGCACCATCGACAGGCTCATTGCCGACACGGCCACCATCATCTCCGAGGCGAGGGTGTACGTTTCCAATGGCGATTTGATGTTCGGGAGGGTGGGGGAGGAGGGCGGAGAGGACGACGGGAGCAGGATCAGGGAACATGAACTACTTTATCGCATTAATGCCCAGATGAAGGCCTTCCGAAAAGAGCTGCAAGCTTTCATTGACAGACTGGAGGTGCCAAGGCTCGAGGACAGAGAGGCAGAGGAGCCGCTGTCGGTGAGAGTTAGTCTTTCAGCTTCATGACGGCTTTTCAGAAGTCCTAAATAGAGTACTGACTTTTCTTCTTTTTCTCACCTGCAATGTTTTCCTCAGATGTTCCAACCAATCATTTTGCTCATCCTTATACTCGTCTTATTCTCATCCCTCTCTTATGCCACTATCTTTAAACTAGTCTTCCTGTTTACTCTGTTCTTTGTTCTGTGATATAAGCCATCCTATGTTCAAATCATCCCTGTTTGTGTTTGCTATGTTGATTTCATTTTTCTTCCACCCCCTCCCACTCTCCTTCAAAAAAAAAAAAACCTCCTCATTTGTTGCCATGGTAATCTAAAGCACAGAAAAGCTCAGCACCCGCCCTTTCCGCTCATTAACTGGCTTCAACAACTGGAGTCTCTAATATCATAACAGATCACAATCAGCGTCCTTCTCTACAGAAGGTGAGTGTTTATCTATTTTTTATTTTTTTTTTCATGAATTCATTCTGGGACATTCATAGTTGTCATGGTTACTGCCTGACTGGCACGCGCCTTAAGGAATGATTGGGATTTCTTCTGCTTTTGTTGTTTTTTTATGCTTAAATCTTAATATCTGACAAATGTAGGCTGGTTTGTAAACACAAACGTCAGTTTCCAGTTATATTATTTAGCACCTGTGAACTAATTAGCACTATAAATTATTAGTTTTAAGATGTAATTACCTTTTAAAATGCAGTTAGTTTGAATAGTTTTATTCACTATCACCTTAGAATGCTGCATTTTGTGGTTACTGAAGATATCTTTGTCTAATTATGGTCTTCCGAAACAAAAGACGTGACCACAGTTTGTCCGTGGTGTGATTAAAAAACAATTTTTTATCTTTAACATGTTGTGAATCCAAAATTCTCTTTTTTTTCCAGAAACCTTCCCCTACCATCCTGCTGTCGTTTCCTGAAGGTAAAGTAATGACAAAGTGTGTTTGTTTGTTCTTTCGCCAAGGCAAATGATGATTTATCATATTAGAGAACAGGTGGGGAGAGGATCCAAGGGCGTTTACACTAGAGGGACGACTGATAGGTCAAACGTGGGCTGTTTTTGTCAGGCGATGCTAAAGTTGCCAACAGAACTCTGATTTGGTGCTACGGTTGTCAGTGATGGTGTAATCTTCATAAATACATGCACAGTATTCATACGCTGACATTTTCCACATGTTGTCAAGACAAAGCTCATGACAATATGTTAAGCTTAAAGACAATTATACTTTTTTTTTTTCAAATAAAAATCTGAAAACTGTGTGCATTTTTTAATTAGCCCCATTTGGTCTCATTTAGTTGATGAGCATCTGTGAAGTCTTTGCACAAATTCTCAATTGGATCCTAGCCATATTAGCACATATTTGTGTTGATCTAAACCGTCACATTGTAGCTTTGGGTGTATTTTTAGAGTCATTGGCCAGGATGGTTTTGGTATTAATTGTCCTCCATATTTGGAATTTGGCATTTAGGCTTTACTTAGGGAATAAAGTTGAATTTGGATCTCGTTTGTCAGAACTTCTTATGGTAAACTTATTTTTTCATTTAAGGGCATTATGTTAAGTGTTGGTGGTTATTAATACAAAACAATTTATGACATAAAATCCATTAAAATTATTTGAAATTTGTTGTTGCGGCTTGACAAATGTATGTAATATATATATATATATATATTTGTAAGGCACTGAAACTACAGGCAAAAGGTGTGATTTTTTTGTATCTAAAACAAAAAACATTTGATGTTTCATTTTTATTTTCCTATATGCTCTAGGAACTAATTAAGCCTAAGTGCAAAAGAACAACAAATCACATCTGAAGTTTGAAGAATTCAAAGGATGACCTTAAAATATGCCAACCATGCCACGCATCCACCCGACAGTCTCCTTTCCGTGACTGTGTTCAATAAAGATATTATTGACTGTGACACATTATTACTCACTGTGTCACCCACACCCATTTGGCTTCCTTTGGAAAAATGATTTGCAGCACGGTCAGGTCACAAGACGAAATCTGCCCAGGCCTCCTATAAGCGGAGTAGCAACAGAGGAGCCCATTGGCCGAGACAGCAGCGGCAGCTGAAATAGCTATGTAAACACTTTCCCTCTCTCTGTGTGCCCCGGTAATTATAGCCGGGATGCTGGTGACGACAGTCGTCCCAATGAGACTTCGAATGCTGGAATAAATTTGACATTATGACATTTGATCCCGACTCCGATTGGCGCGCGCTGGGCTGGTGGTATAAAGCCCGGGGACCCCAGCTGGAACAGAAGATGTTTACCCTTTAGCTCAAAGCTCGGGTCTTAACTCTGAGGAAGGGGACCCTTTAAATCGAGTGTTGCTGTGCTTTACGTAACAGAGCGGGGCATAAGAGAAGGGCAGCGACGCGGAGAGAGGGGACTTTACAGCTCCGCAACGTGGGGAGTGAAAGTGCTGGAGAGGATAGGGATCAGAGCGGAGGGAATATTTACTGCAAGACAGGGAGCATTTCTGTGTAGAGTTAAGGTAAGAGCTGCTGGGTTCATTGAGACTAAAAGGCAGGTGTCTTCACTTCTGGAGATGTTAAACATGTACTTTATAACTATTATAGTCTGAACTTGGGAAAAAGAGGAAAGAAACAGGATTTTAACCAGTTTTACACATCTATGCTAGGTTATAAGCCATGTACTTGATTTTTTTAAATAAACTTCCCTGCTCCAGGCATAGATTGTCTCTGTCCAGAGGACATTGAGTCACCTTACTATGCATAGTTACAGGATTATTAATATCTCCACTCTTACATCACAGGTGGGAGGGAAATGGCTAGTACATTCAGGCACTTTCTACAGGGATGCTTGTCATTCTGAATTATGGCAACAACAACGAAAACCCTTCCCCTCCTAACTTTTTTATGCTGCTAAGATTAAAAACAAAAAAAAAACTTTTCAGATGTTGGCAGATTTAATTAGGAAGCTTAAAGTCTAATATTCTAGAAAATGTATAGGAAGATATTTGAATGTCTAACTTTGAAACCCAGAATCGACCTTTAACATCTTGGTCATGTTCCGAGCATCTCGTTGCGTAGTCGGAGTGTTCTGATTCCTGAATGTAGTGAGTGTTGAAGAGGGAGGCTGGAGGTCAAATGCTTGATAAAGATCCGTCTTGTAACACTTGTCGGCACACGTGCTGCAGCGGTACAGTGGATTTTGAAGGAGAATGCCGAAACTGTGGGGCTGTGAATATTTGAAACAGAACAAATAGTCAAACTGTTGAAGCAAAGTCTCGATCTTCCTTAAATATTACTGTTAAAAATAGACACGCAACCTAGATTTTTTGCGTTATCTTGAAATCTAATTTTCTTTCATGCGTTTCTCCTTTTTAGTTATTTCAGGTCATCAGTCCCATCGGTTACCTAACTGCCACCCCAGCTGCGACCTCTGAACGGAAGAGAGCAAAGCAGAAGAAGGAGGGGCGGAAGCAGCTATTCAACAGAGCCTCAGGGTCATCGAACGGCCTGCGTCATGGCAGCCATCGATCTGGAGCTGGGGCTGGAACGCGGCGGCCGGGTGTGGGGGCAGGAGAGGCCCGACACCGCCGACAACTTTGACTCCGAGATGCAGGAGTGGGAGGATCAGCTGCAGGACATCCAGAGAAAAATAGAAGAGGTAAGAATCGATGGGAAAACACATCCAGTGTCAGAGTGGAAAATCAGTTTACACATAATCCAAATGGACTCCTGGTAGTCTCAATTGTCATGTTGCGTTTTACTTAAAAAAAAAAAAAAAAAAGCGATGTAGATCGAGAATATAAAATACTAGTGTCACAGGTAGATTTTGGCCAATATGAGATTCTTGTGGTATAATAACCCTGAGAAAAACCATAACATCATTGTGATAGTACTTCTACAAAAATAATCTATCTGTATTTATTGACCGATTATGACAGTTAAATGACGCTATCTATAATTTGTATTCACTGTTATTTGGATTTTGAACATAGTTAAGCAAAAATGTGGAATAAACAAAAGTAAGCAAAGATTGTCAGGAGCTTTCTGAACCAAAAATTGAACTTTTAGGCACGTTAATTAATCAAGCGGTGTTACCTTGATAAGAAAGGTAGGTGGCGCTTCTTTGGTTCCAGTACCATGTCTGTCTGTTTATTTTCGTTCACAAAATGTTACTGAACAACCAATATTTTTTTTCTTCTTTGTTTGGAAAAAAAGGAAGTGTTCTCCTTTCAAACAGCTGACTGGCAGTGTGCAGCACTAAGTGCGGGAGGGGCAGCATTGAGACTCATTGACTCTTTCAGGCATTGAAAATTTTGGCCTCAACAAAATTTTCTCTGGTATTTCATTAAAATGACCATACTATAAAAACGGAAAAAAAGATAACTTGCATTCATAAACGCAGCAATCTTTACACTATTTCCATCAGCCTTCTCAGCCCCCTGAACTCACCCGCACGAAAATAGATCTGAAATTTTACAGGAAGACAATAAACAAGAGTAGCTTAATATTACCCCTCTGTACTAGGGGTGCTTCCTGATTGTCTCCCCAGGGAGCGGTAATTGGTGCAAAGTGTGTGTACGCTCCACATTAAACAGTTGGCAGCGCACAGACTGACTCGACCTCGTGACCTCGTTGGAGCAGCAGTACAGACAAATGTTAACAAGCTAATTAAACTGGGTTGTGCTGACAGACCTGCGGGACACATTCAGCCTCTCTGTCACTTATACACATAGCCTGAAAGTGGATCTTGAGCGAGGTATCAGACAGATGCTTCTTCAAAGTGGAAAAGCACATGTTGATTACAAATATAGGTTGGGCAGATTTTGCGTAATATCTGTTAGTTACAACAGCGGAAAATAGGTCAAATCAATGTAGAAACAGCAGCGTTTCTACATTGATCTACATGATCTCCTCTTCCTGTTTTGTTTTCAAGCTGTACAACGAAGTTCAGGCCCGCAGAGGAGCCAGCGACATCACTGGTGACGGCCAGAAAAACGGCGACCCATCTGATTGTGAGCTGAGGCAACACGGCGATGTCCTGTTTGCGCCTGGTTCCCGCGGCGGGAATCGCGTCAGAGGTCATGACGGACACGGCTACGGTTGCTGCCGCTCCAACGGGGTCTCAGAGATCGGAGACTTGCTGCAGGATTATCTGGAGAAGGGGAATAAAACGAGCCGGAAGAACAACAGAGCTCGCCACGTGGTGAGTAGATTCCTTGACCCCTCGTGCCTCGTTCAAGATAGGTGGGACGTCCTGTGAGCTGGAGCTGTGGTTCTGACAGGAATGTATTGATTTCAGTTCCCTGAACAGTGCTTACACGGCGAAGTTTAGTTTCTCATGTAGCCCAGTGCACTTATAACTGAGTAGTGGGTAATAAGGGTGAAATGATAAGACTCTCTGTTCCCACTGGACATCAGTAGAAATTCTCCAGTCAGAATTTAATGATCAATTTCCCATCCCTGTTTTTTGGTAAAGCTTTTAACTGCTCTGACCAGTTTTAGGAGATTTCGATTTCGGTTTAGGAACTAAAATCATACAGGTGTTTGTTCGACGTGATGATTGATTCTTAATATTACTTGTAAAGTGAGATTGTGAGAGAAAGCAGCCCATGTGAAACATTGCTTTACTATTTCAAAACCAATATAACATTATTAAGGAAGTGACATTCAAAACTGATGTCAAAGTAATTAGCACAGTTAGCAGGGCTAGCATTACTAAAGGAGTAGTCAACGTGTGTCATTCCCTTAAAAATGTTAACATTTTCAACGTGACGAATGTTGAAAGCTCAAATAGATAAAACAGATCACATCTTGCTCACTCTTGCAGTCTAGATGAATCTTAAGAAGTTGTAAAAGATTTCAAAAAACAGTTTATTCCTCAACAGCTTCTCACATTTATTATCGATACCTCACTCATACTGAAAGTAGTAATCTTCCTCTTCTTTGAGTAACAACTTCCACACCAAAGAATGTTTTTACACGGTGCACCTACTAATCAAAGAAATGTCCGATTTTGGATTGTCCTACCGGCTAGTCGTTGCTCATCTGCCTTTGGACGTTTTCTGTGCCTAAAACAGCCTGGAGGAAACACAAGTTCCTCTTAACCTGTAAGCACCTCAGGATGCCTGAGTTGCTCTCCTATAGCTCTCTCTGGATGGACAGTCATTGGTCAATTCTAGTAAAGAGACCATTTCTATATATGTCTTTAAAGATCAAAATATTTTAGCTGTACATAGCTGAATGATGCCAGAGCTGCTCGAGATTTGGTAAAGACACCATGAACAGACATTAAAATGACTTTGTAATCTCTTTCAGCATTTCAGTGACACAGTTAAGGTGAACCAGGACATCTCTGCATTCCAGGATGAGGCCAGAAGACGATCTGGAAATCACAGGTAGAAGCTTCTTTCACTGACATTTTAAGTGAACAGAAGAATCAAGCCTAGATTTTGCTTTTTTTTTAAGTTCCTTTTTGTTTTGTCTTTTATCTACTGTCAATCCAGGGTTGGACCAGACCAATATTTGAGCACTTTTGAGGAAACTGAAAACATAAAGAACCGAGTATCTCACATGAGGGGTTCCCCCCACAGAGAGGAAAACACTGGTGCGAAGCCCCCTGTTGGACAAAGAGATGCTTCTGCTGCATCAGCACGTTCTCAGTTCCCAGTCCTGACAGCCGAGTCTCCCTTGTTGGACAAAAAGTCCTTCACTCCAGGGATCCTGGGAGACAGAAAATGCAGCAGCCCCTCAGTTCTTAGGAAGTTTGGAGCCATGCTTCAAGAGAACGAGGGCAAGACACTCACCGAATCCGGGGTGGTGACCCATCAGGGACCGTCCCCAGAGGCAAAGTGTCCCACTCCTTGCTGTCAGCGCAGAGCTCTGGGAGTCACCGGAGGAGCCAGCAAGGCGCCAATGCGCGTGCCTAACCAGAAATGCCAAGCAAATTCTGATGTGCTGACAGCAGAGACAGAGCCCAGCCAAGACCGGGGTTCATTATTAGACTCTGCTCGGCATCACTTCAAGGATCAGAGAGAAGGCTGCAGTAGTGCTAAAGGCTCGCAGTCTGCTCCCCAACAGGTCCTGGGGAGATCTCAGGTACCAGGGAGCCCGAAGGTCCGGCCCCGGGCTAACAGCGGGGCAGATAGGGAGGGAGGGAGAGCAAGAAAGCAGCAACTGGAGCCCAAAACAGACTATAGGACAACGAGTCCTTCTCCTGGAGCTCACAGGATTCCAAGGAGGCAGGATGTACATGACTCTGGCTATTTGAGGGATGAAGGACTTATTGAACTGCTGGACATGCTGGAGATCCAGCATGAGTACAGCTCCAGTCCCAGAACGACATACGCGGCTTACAGACAAGAGCCACAGCAGGTTGGTTCTCCTTCACATGTCTTCAGCTCTGCCAGCAACGGATCTCTGAGTAACCGTGAGCCACCTGTTTCCCACCAGGTAAATCCTGCAGAGATGTCTCCAGCAAGACCCAAGAGGAGTTTTTCCCGTCCCGCACGCCCCGCCAACCAGCGACCTCCTTCCAGATGGGCCAACCATACGCCTGCTGCCAGAATCAGTGCCCCGTCAGGCCCGATCTACAGGCCCCCCAGCCCTCTTACTCGCACCTCTAGTCCTGGCCTCAAGCATCGGCCTCCCATTTCCTACTCCCTTCAGACAGAAACTATCATTATGTGACATTTTCCACCTAATGACGTCTGTCCCCATCACCTTGTACAACAACATCTTTGTAAATAATAAGGGCCTCCTGTTTTATGAGTGCTAAAGTGAAATGGGAAACTGTCTCCTGATGTGTTCTAAACATAACGTCCATATTCACTGGTGACGCTGCAGCTTTAAACTTCTTCTGTGCCTAACTTCTATCAACATTTCACCAATTTTGCTTTTGTTGTTCCCAGATATTTCACTTTTTTGTATAAAAATGCAAGTGTTTTTCTATGTGAAGGATTAGCATGCAGCCCCAGTTCGAGGGCGCGCGCCTTCAGCTTTTCTGGTTGATACGTCGAATCAAATGCCGTCTCATTATTGGAGGGTGATCCAGTTGGGACAAAGAGGCCCAACTGGACTGCTGAAAAGTGTTGTTGGACTGTATGATGAAAAATACTGAAGATGTTCAAATAATAGCTGTGACAATTGATTTTAATATGCCTTTCATGTATTTTTCTTGGTAATAAATATGACTGTGCTTAAAGTTAATGCTGATTCCGTGTTTTGGATTGCCTTGTGTCATTCATGTTTGCAGCCTTGATGGTTTATTGCATGTTCATGCTGTGCATATCAACTACCAGCAGGCCAGACGCTCAGACGTTGCGGTGTTCACTGCCGTGGCAGATGAGATTCGTGTGGTTGGAAATGCCTTCGTCCATCCACAGCAGTTTGCAAAAGTATTTTGATGTTTTCATATTTTTTTATTTAGCATTCAGGTGTTTTTTTCTCATTTGGAAATGTATCCAAATAAAAAGCTTTACTATAAAAGAATACAAATCTTTAACTTCTAAAGGAAGAAGCACATCTTTATTTTACCTCTGTCTTCTCCACAATATGACTTCATGTTAGACAAGTTTGCAAAACTTTTTATGTGGCGCTCTCTTAATGTGCTGCCATTTTCTTTCAAACAGCTAGCTTGTTGCTGATTTGCTGCTTTGTGTGATATCGATGTCTTATAATGACCTAATTATGATAAAACCTTACATGTTAGCCAGATCATCTCAGCCAAACACACGATTTTAGTCAACTTTTGGGAGCTAATTTTCGATGGAAAACTTGGAATTTCAATATTCCCCCCCGCCTTCAATCATTGTCTGCAAAATATCCTTCCAGCGTTCGGTATTGGTATTTTTATGTGTTAACACTCTTTCACCCTAATCACACTTTTTCACTTCTATATGTTTTTAAACAATAAAAGGACAAAATTATTTGATTAAACTGAATTCAAATAAGTAAAATATAGCGCAGTTCAAGGGCTGTCATCTAGCAATGCATTTTTAAAGCGATTATTCTCCAAAACCATTTGTCACAATGAATAAACTTCGGAGTACGCCAACACCCTAGAGTCATTATTCAGCAACAGTTATGCTTCCCGTCGTTATCGGGGTATCCAGTGTGCTGCGAGGACAGAGATCACTTTTCCTGCTCTGTGTTTCGCGCCTCATAAGACCGCTTCGACAACCTCTGGCCTCCCTGACACCTCCTGCTCCCTGCAGGGCGAGGCATCGTGCTTTCACACGCTCTCGAGTTCCCACATCTGCACACATGGGGAACAAACTGTGCCGTTATTTGCTACTGTACACATAGAGCGACCACTTCAGATACACAAATGTACGTGCGTGCATGGTCTGGTGCACATTTTCAACCCCGACAGAGGTAGTTCAACTGTGAAAAGCAATTTAAATGCTTTGTGTGAGGATGAACAGTCCCTTGGCCCCATAATGCCTCAGTCCTGTCACCCAACCTCTTGGTGCTATGCAGCACCTCAGACCAAAATAGCAAGCGTGACGTGTGTTTTGGTGCCAGAAATCTTAGCCTGCTGTCTTGGGGGGTATAAATAAAGAAGGGGAAGAGTTTTTTTGCCCCCCCCCCACCCCCCAATGCCTCTCTGTCTCTTTAGCCATATTTCCTTTATCTCTGATATCATTATTTCTCTGCGCCAATGACAAAAAAAAACAACATAATTTTTGAGTTCAAATGACTATTTTCAGATTTCAGAAACTCTTAAGGATTTTTATTTGTTTTACTTTTATTTTTGGTTGTAAAAGTTTTATTTATTCTCTCACAAGTATCAACATAGATCTTCCTCTCTGCCTGCTTTCTGTCTGTGGAGTCTTCTCTCATTCTAGGTTTAATCTGTGTGTGTGTATGACCACCTTCCTTACAGTTTGGCACCTAATTCATGCGCTGGTATTTTAATGAGATGTCCTGCCAGGACTCCTCATCAGTCCTGACCCCCCCGCCTGCATAAAACAAACTGTGAAACAAATCAATAACTGGGTAAATTCTGAAGGATGTGCATTTATTCACCCCCTTCTTCATCCTCTTCTCAAGCTACTGCTCTTCTCTTTGATTCCCTGGTCCGAGACAATCCGGTCAGGCTGACACTGGATGGCAGAGCTTGGCACAGCGTGTCCCTCTGCTTCACAGGCTATTCATAAGAGCTTGGACAGCCGGACGGCAGAGGGAAGAAGAAGGGCGACACAACAAGAGAAGACAGCTGAACCGTAGCCATGGCTTCTTTGACGTCAGCAGGCCAAGACAACACATCCACTCCAGGAAGAAATAAAAACTGCATTAAATCAACTAAAATGTCTGGTTTTTAAATGTTTGTGCTTGCATGTGCTCTCAATTATCAATCCAGACAGACTATGGCGCTTCCTTAATATTATTTGGTTCAGCTCATTTCATGGCTTTGGCTGAAGTAACAGTGCTGATCTGCCCTTTTCAATGAGTTGCTGTGCATCATAACTACGTGTCAATGTGCTGCCTTCCTGGGATCAGCACAGACATTTGAGAACACCCTCTTGGGTTATGTGTCCTATGAGCATTTGAACCAATGGGATCGATACGCAGCCTTTAAATCTACCCTCCCCTCTCTACTGGTCTAATAACTATAAATCTATTTGAAATACACTTGATACACTGGTGAAGTTAGACCATTTTCAAACACATTCTGGGTTACAGAAGTTCCACTGTAAAGTATTGATGTCAGTTACTGACTTCAGGAGTCGGCACCATTGTTAAAGAGGTTTAAAAACAAAAAAGATTAAAAATAAATTCCACTTTTACTGCAGTGTAATCTTACTGAAGACTTTAGACAAAACAGATATTCGAGTAAGTTTATTGAATGGTGGGGGGGGGCGAGAAAAAAAAATCCAACTTTTCAGCATTTTATGCATTCCGTAAAGAAGCGTTGGATGCCTATAGCAGCAGTGTGTGTGACATTCAATCATTTGTATTATTTGTGAGCCAGTACATGAGTGTGGTTTTTAAGTTCTCATAATTACTAAAATTTCCTACATTTATACTTTAATTTTTACCACAATTGATCAATTACCTGATAGTCTAAGGCATCCAAATTCCTTGAGGGGTAGCTATGACATGACACAAAGGCCAAGGTGTCTTTGTCACACATCAAAATGGTAGAGACAACAGTGACCGCACTCAAAAAAAAAAACCACCACCTATTATCATAAATGCAAACCATGTGGAATGGTGAACATTGTGGAGGCCCCAAACACAAACAAGAGGCAGGCAGGTTTGAGAAAAAAACTGTTTTTAAATTTACAGGACACAAGTGAGCAACTGAACCAGAGGGTAACACAGACCACAGAATTTGGCAGATGGATCTGGCAAGGAGTTGACTGAACTGAGAAGCATTCAGGCTGGGGAAGTGATTACTAAACATGGAGCAAGTGTTTGATTAGTGTCAGGCTGCAAGTGGAGAGTAAAGCAACAGGCCAGAAGCAGTGGCCGCTGCATGTTTAAGGGATTCCCTGCCACACATCTGACTTAAATAAATGGGGCGTTTGCATCATGAGGTAATGCAATCACTTCGATCAGGTGTGAAGAACCACGAAGCTGGAAGGAATTGGGGATAGTGGCAGGCAAAATATGCTAATTGAATACACATGTAACGTCAAAACTAACTAAACAGATCATTATTGGTGGAAGAACACATCTTTAATGGGAGTGTCAACAAGTGTGCAGAATGCTGTAATATTTTAGAGGATATTTGGAAGTTAATACAACAAACACTGCACCTGTTACAAATCAAATCTACATCTATATGCAGCCAGAACTTTGTGGCTTTGTGCTCAAAGGATATTATTGCGAAGCATGAAAATAAACTGACTCTGCTTTAGTTGTTCTCTGGAGCCACATATTCCTTCCCTCATCCCCCATCCATCACTCTCGTGATGTCAGACATCACTGTCTCACAGGAGCAATAGACTGGATGGAGTCTACGATAAAATCCTCAGCATGTGTCAGTTGCCGCCGCAACAGACTCAAAATAGACAGTAAAGCGCTTCTTATGTGTATGTCTCAGAAAAATGTGGATAGAGGGGCGACAGGACCACCGTGCTCGTTGAGGCAGCTGAGCATTAAGAGGCCCGGACGACCTGAAACGGAGCTGTTTTACAACCTCCCTTTACAAGACTTGCTCTTTTTATATTTCATAATGTTTCCTAATGTTTTCCATTAGCAACAAGAGATGTTTGCATAAGTCAGTTTACTTCGTGCTGCGGTATGCGTCTATCATCCCACTGCACCGGGCTTCCTCATTCACGGGCTATGCAAAACGACAACAATCTCTGCGTTGTATTTTATTTTTGCAAGCATCAGAGTTTACTGTATTCCTCTTTTATTTAATTGAGAGTATTTTAAAGATATGAAAAATAAATAAGCTACAAAAACATTTACTGATCATGTTAATTTACTTCCTAAATACTCTGCATTTCTAGAATACCTTCTGTACGTGTTCATGAGCCAAGGGTCTCGTTTGCTTGAATTATAAACCTACAGGTCAACTTTTCATGACCCCGCGTGTAGAATCGAATCCCACCACTCCACACTCCATCTCGCACCCATTTATTCTATAAGGTACAAATCGTCCCTTTGGATTGGGAACAGTTAGTCACAGTTTGTCTCCCTCTGTCTTCGTCCAACTGTCCAAACTGTCAGTGCGTCAGTATCCGTCCATTGACTCAGCCATCTCAAGTGGCACATGGCAAGAGCAGCAGAGCAAGAGGCAGAGACATTAAGTACGGAGAGAAGGAGTCAAAAGCACAGAGGATTCCGGAGCTCATTATTAAAATAGAAAGAGGGTCTAAATTTCCCCATCTCTGAAAGGCAACCCACCAGAGTCGCCTTTCAAAACAAGAGCGGCGCTATCGTGGGATTAGCTGGTGTTGCTTGGCAGAGGTGACTATAGGGATCTATTTATCTTGTGACGAATGACAAATTTCAAATTGGCTTCAGTGGACTGGTCAGCTGGGAGCAACTACATTGGCCCTCATCTGGCTCGAGGCCCATTCATGTGACCTTGTTTTCCTCAGTGCATAAACGCATGCTTTAAAGAGGACGCAGCAATGCTGCTAAGGCCTGTTAAGATAATTTACAGTGCGTTGTAGCAGTGGTTAGCTTTCTCAAGGCACTCATTTATCTGGAAATGGAAGAATACATGTGTAAGGCTCATCTACAGA